ATAAAAATCAACACAAATACGGAGAGCATAAACAGGTGGGAGTTGTCTTACCAACTCTGAGAGGCCAATTAATTAATTTTTTTTCTCTTAATTAATTGGCCTCTCAGAGGTGGTAAGACAACTCCCACCTGTTTATGCTCTCTGTATGTGTGTATATATATCTCCACAATATATGTTCCATTCTATATGCATCCGAAGAAGTGGGCTGTAGTCCACGAAAGCTTATGCTCTAATAAATTTTAGTCTCTAAGGTGCCACAAGTACTCCTGTTCTTTTTGCGGATACAGACTAACACGGCTGTTACTCTGAAACTTGACTATCAAAGTCAATGTCAAACTTGGTCTGTTCTGGACCTCTGATATTATTTATAGGTTGGAAGCACCTGAATTCTCTTCTCTTTTGAATAAAGCCCACATTGTTAGGGCTGTGAACTCAGTTTTGTATAGTAAGCCTCAAGGTCTACTTAAGGTTGTGACTGAGAGGCACAGCCTGAACTGGAATCCATAGGGGAAAGAGCTCCTGTAGAGTCCAAAGACAAAAATTCTCCATTCCAACTGCTGCTTGATGGATACACATTGACAGCCTAATTTACCAATGTCTGAATTACTAAATATGAGTTTAAAATGATTTATTTCATTGTTCTCATATTTAAGGATTTTAAAAGAAAACATGTGAACTTTACAACATGGTTCAAAGTTAGAAGTGACAGATCGAATATCAACTTGAGAACAATTTCTGAAAGATTTACTCAAAAACTGCATGATTTAGTCAATCCCTTGAATTATAAAATGGCAGCTAAAAAGCTAGCAGTTTCACTGCAGCCATCTGTTCAGCAAGGTACGTATAGTATATAGAAAAAACCTTTCACTCGTTACATCCCAGCTTTCAGAACTTTGATGTGAAAAGGACTATTGAAAATTATTTACATTTACAGTTCAGTCACACATTTTATTTAACGTCAGTATACAGAGGACAACCCCAGCAAATTTTGTAATGTCAAGTATTTAGTAAGGTTCTTCAGCTGTAACAGTGACAACAGAATAGCTAAAAAATAAGCAGTATGAAACAAACTTGAATTTTTAAAATTATAAATATACCAACAATACTTATTAAAGCTTAATTATTGCAACAGTTAATTTAACAATATTTCATGTTAGAAAGGCTCTATGAAATTTATTCAAGTTGTCAAGAAATTAGATGGAAGTGTAAAAAGGAAATACATATGAATTTTCTTTTGATTTGCACTCAAGATATAGTCAATACAATTTTGTACAGTATCACCTAACATATCAATCTTTAACAAACTCAAGTATACAGAATTGGTAAAAATGGAGGGGAAAAAAAATCTTGTTTTTAACTTTTACACCTAAGTTGTGCCACAGTAAATTAACGGACATGAAATTCATTATTGTAACATAAGCAGGCCAACAATTTTTTTCAGTATCAAATTTAGTTGATTTAAGCTGCTAAAGGGGCAGATGTATACACAGTCTCTTCAAGTACATAACCAAGTTTGAAAAAGGTGATAGTTCAAAACATGGGATTTCTGCAAGTATTTAGTAAAAGGCATGTTATTTCCTAACATGAAACAGAAACCCTCACCCATAAGACCTTTTATACAGGGTTATGATCTCTCCTGGCTTCACTGAAGTCACTTTGCCACACCTCCATTGTGCACACCTTGCTATACATTATCAAACCAGTGTATTAGTTTAAATTCACTCTGCTAATGAAGGTGTACTATATGTGCAATTTCATTTGCTACTATATGCACATTACAGGAAGCTTCAAATTGCACCTTGGTAACCTGAAATCATATAGCTGTGATTCAGTTTTACTGTAGAATTTACGCAGATACCGTTATCACATTGAAATAATTCTAATTTGATAGTACTTCAAAATACCAGTAATTGAACTTCAGTTGTATTGAAAAAAATGCTCTTTTCCACTGAGGAAGAATTAATGTGTAGCCAGTGTTCCCACTCACCAAAGTATAATATATGAATGTTTGTTAAGTTCTTTTAGCAAAAACCATTAGTCATAATTTAAGGATGTTATAATTTAAGATTTTCATGTACAATAAGAATCAAAAACATTCTAAATGTCATGTGCATTGTTTCACAAAATGGTAACGTATTTAGTCTGCCAGATATATACTGCCATTTCACTCTCCTTTGTAGTTTTGTCCAATCTTACCTTGAGCTCTCTCAGAAAAGAGAAATAAGTGGTAAGTTTCCCTTAAATTAAAACAAAGTGGTTGTACAAGATAAGCAGGTTAAATTTTAGTATCATTCAAACATTTAGATAATACAGTTTATTTTGTATTGAAATAACTTTAGTAATAAAATTAGTAATTGTAATTAGCTTCATTCATGCCTAGTAAAATAGTTTAAAGTAAAAGAATTATTAAATTCCTTTGCATGTAAATACGAAGCATTTTTACTGCATCTGTAGTATATGCAACTTGGCTTGAAGTAACTGGCAATGTGATTCATATGCAATTTCACTTTTCTAATTCTCTCCTATTTAAATTGTTTTCAGACATGTTAAGGGATAAGATGAAAGTTTCCATGACCTCAGCTAGGTTTTCCTAGGGAGCAATCCCCATGGCCAATCTGATGACAGTTACTCAACTAAGGAGAAAAAAAACAACAACACTCAAAAGTCAAACCCTCAAGAAGAGGGGACTAAAATTATAGTTCCTAAAATGAGGGAAAGTGAAATTCACAAATGAATGGATCAGACTGAAAGGAAAAATTGTTCATTCATTTTTCAGAAAGGTAAAGCATGCTTTCCCATCACCCCAGCCCAATTTGTTTTACTGATTTTGTAAATCCCTTGCACTGCTTTTGTCCAAGAGTTAGTATGTTCATTTTAAAAGTGTGTTTGGATCACATACTTTACAAGAATAATGTAGCCAATAAGAAAGCTCAAGGTATGATGGGTAAACTGAAGTAATTCATAAAACTTGTGCGTAGGCTGTATGGGGCTGGGATGGCAGTGCATCATTCTGGCCTAATGGAATCAAGGTTGAAGATCCATTTCTGGATTTTCAGGCAAGGCCAGTAGAGACAAAAACACTGTGGGCAAGAGATTCAATAGGTCTAAAATGAGGAAGACCACCCTACGCCTGGTCGTTGGTGCTTTCATGGCTCTTCCAAAAAGGAGGCAAATGAGAGGGAAAGGTAGAGATGGCTCACTGGCACTGATGCTTTCTACTGCAAGGTTAGTTTAATTTTCTGTTCAGTCTTTCTTTGGGTTGGTTATGGTTGGCACTCAACTGAGGCCGTTTCTGAGGCAATGGTGGAAGAATTTTTTTTAGCACAAAAAAGTGGTAGGGAGGGCAGTCTTCCAGGACTGTCAGGAACCCAGATAATGGGAGGAAGACAGAAGATAGCAGCTTTAAACTCCAAAGTGACAGACTTAGCCAAGGATAAAACTACTGGCAATATAGAAATGTGTGGTATATAGCCCAGAAGTGACACGTTACCATCAGTGTTTTTATACTTTGACCATTCTCGTTAAATATGCATAAAGTTATTATAAGTGCTCTATCCTATAAACCAAAAGATGCTTATCTTTCTGGCACAGATACTTCCCCATCAAACTCCTGTAAACATGCCACTAAAACTTAGTTTAAATAGCAGAGTGAACTCACTGTAAATGCAAATGAAGAAATCAGAGAAACAAGTCCATTTGAAAAATATCTTTCTAGGGAAGTAAATATATCCTAAATAATATGGCATTTACATCAGTGTGCAATATATTAATTTTGAAAGATCGTGATAACTTCAGCATGAAAATGACTTACCTGTAATTAAAGTTTTCCATATTAGCCAAATACATAAATCCTGATTTTGGGTACTGCATACTCTATATCTGAAATATTTGAGATGATGTATTTTCTAAATCAAAACCATCAATGTACAAAAACAGATTAAGTTACACTCAGCAGTTTAAGGAAACCTAATTTATAAGTTCATAGAAAGAAAATGTAAAGGGGTAGTGTTTGGTAATACACACGCAGTCTGGGTTAACATTTATGCAAAATGGCAATATTCTACTCCAGAAAGCTGAGACACATGTTTAAAGTTACTTTCATAAGAATGTTTGTGACTGGCACTGATTCACAGAAGTTAAAGTAGTTCCAGTGTAATGTAGTTTCACTATTTTGAGTTAATGATTCTCATGTACTAAATATCTTTAAAGGTAAAGTAATGCCCTTTCCCCCACCTTTAAAAGAAAGATACACTATGTTCAGACCTAGTCGACCTAGCCACTAAGTGTGCACAGATGCTGAGTGGAAGGGGTTCTCACTGTGTGCATATAATAGGACAGATTTGAGAACCAGACTGGAGGAGCTTTTTCAATATGTGCTTGGGGTTTCAAAGCAGCTAGAATCACCACTTTTTAAAAAAAAAAGGAATAATTCTGATAATTCATTCTGAGACTTCCTTGCAACAGAAATCTGAAGTTAGTTGTGGTGTATTTTAGTTTTCTGGAACACAGTGGTTGCTCCAACTACAAACATGACTCTAGAGAATCAAGTAGTTTAGGATTAAGGAACTACATACATCTATATTGTCCAATTAGGAAAATATTCAAATAATTTAAGACCAATACTCCAGGAATGCAATAGCCTAATGAGTGCTGCATTTTTACACAAGCCCCTGCTGGTTCTCAGAACTGTATTTCATCAGAGAATGTTAAACAAAGCTATCTTGGCATAGAAGGTGCTTGAGGTTATAAACTGGCAATTAGTTTTAGAAAACACAAGAAAACAAATTTGCCATGCAATGGACAAGATAAATATTGTATTCAAGATTAAGAGGCTTTTACAAGGGAGGGTAAAAACCCTAGAAATGTGTTACCTTAAATTGATAGACGTGATTGCCTGAAAGAAACCCACTAAAAATTCTTTTTTGCCTGCATACTTGACTAGTAAAAATGACACTACTGGACCAAACATGAAGCTGTTTATGCAGAATTTTTTTTTTTAAACTGTGGCCACGATTCTTCTCATGATAATGAGCCTATAAAAATTAAGATCTTTATACAGGTTCATAAAATCTCATTAGTAATGTATTATGCATTTAGGACTGATTCACAATTTCAGGCAAGATACTGCAAATTATTCCCAATATGGTCAGCAGAGAGTTTTAAAAAGTTTGCTCACAAGTTGACTGACATTTATTAATATTCCAGAAATCCATAAAAAGGTAGTGTTAAACACTTAAGTTTTCAGATGGGATACCTAAATTCTAAAAAAGCTAGCATTTCATGGTAGACTCAAAGCAGTAGTATTTCAAAACACAGGAAAACGGCAGCACAGGAAAATGTGTGAATGACTAATATTGTTACTTTAGTGATTGAATACTTTTAATCTAGTTTTTAAATCTTTGTCTTCACCATGTGTTTATACTAAAAAAGTTTGAAAATATAGGAACACAAACTTTGGATATACAGTATTTCTCTGGTTGGAAGGCAACTAAGAAATGTACCCCAAGACACTTCAAATCATTCAGAAATATGGCATGCAGTATCCAAAAGTATGGCTCTGAGGAAATAACCTTTTTACATTAAGCATAAAGAAATTTTATATCCAATAATCAGGTATATTGAGAAAACTACCTATTCAAAGTTCTAGTTCTTTGATGCAGCATTAAGGATTAAAACTTACCACTTTACCAGGCCTTGCCCATGTGCAAATAAATCCCTCCTGACAAGCAGTGACTATACAGTCTTCAAGAAAAATTAACACAGTCAGTCTTTCATGTGCTATCTTTTTACAAATAAGAGGCTCTAACAAGGGAACATCTTCCATTCTGGGACAGAGAGGTGTTCCCAAAGTTTTAGCTGGGTCCGTTTTGGTTTTAGTAACTAGGTTCAGTTTGTCACTGCTCTTGCTAGATATATGTCCCATGCTATGATTTCTCTTGTGATCTTTTTCATGGTGTCTTTCTTTCCGATCATGTAGCGATAAGGTTGCAAACTTACTAACACCAGCAGCAATGGCACCATCCATGACACTGCTTTTACTGCCAGCATTTGAGACTGCAGAATGTGGAAGGCTGTTTGACCGTGGAAGAGGAGGGGGTACTGAGTTTCCAGGTGTTGTGATACTGTTTCCATTACTTCCTGGATTATTTCCACCACTTCCTGCAGGTGGACTTGTGGCATTCATAACATTTGTGTGTGTCCTTGCTCTTGATAGAGGTTGGTGAGGGAAGAGAATATCTTCTGTAAGGTCCCACAAACAGAGTTGTGTGTCTTGGCCTACAGAACCAAACCTATATGTAACACTTACTGGACGACTGTCTGTAGAGTTCCTTTTTGATAACCTAGATTGTGTACTATTTGCTCGATCCCTACCAAAATGAAGGTGGTCTTGGAAATCCTCATCACTACCACTAAATTCCATTGGGTCACTCTCTTCTACACTAGTGGTATATGGGTCAAATGCCACAACACTAACCCATGATTTATGTCCGTGGCCTCTAGCTATTACTCGACAGTCCACAAAAGACCAAACCGTTACCAAGTCATCCTCTCCACCTATTACAATGTATTTCCCATCTGGGCTCCAACACACACATAGTAGTCCCCCAAAGTAGCTTTTCATTGTACCATGCAACTCCACTGAATCAAAGTTAAACACACGAAGAAAGCCATCTTGGCTCACACACGCCAAAAATTTCCCATCGGGGGAAAAAGCAAATTCATTCAGGGCACCTTCGCCTACGGTCCATTTAAGTAGAGGATTTCTTGTGGATTTACTCTTGCAAGTGTGGACTGCAAAACTTTCTCCTTGCTTAAGTAGCTGGTAGTGTGGGGCTGTGGTACCACAAGTGTGCTCCACATTATACAAGTACATATTTCCACTGGAATGAGCTACTAGGAAAAGGCTTTCCGAACCTGGTACCCATTTTACACAGGTTACTCTGGACTTGTCTATTAGTCTCTGTGAAAAACAAAGAACAAGATATGCATCAGAAGAGTGATAGTTTTACAGTTTACATCTATTAAAATAAAATTTGACTGAATTTTGAATACTGTCAAACTCCTGACAGTTATAAAGTGGTGTTATTTGCAAAAGAAGCTCCAGTCAGCTTAAGATAGGCAGTTAGGAAGAGGAGGAATTACTGTTTAGGGAAAAAGGTGCTTTTATTCTTTCTGGTCCAATTTTTATTCAATAATAAATCTCTGTCAGTAACTAGGCCAATTTGTTATAGATCACAATTTAACATTCTTAGATTTACCTCTACAAGCTCAGCAAAAACAAGAGGTTTACTTAAGGAGCCAAAGAACACAGTCTCAAAAATAGTATGCAATCTGTGTGAATAGAAGTTACTCACCTACACTCTATATTAAGCTTATATTTAGTTAGAAATCAAAACAAAGTTAAGACCAGAGTTCAGATTAAATCCCAAAAGCCACACATGGGACTTGCCCTCAAAAAAAAAAAAAAAGGCAGCTTTAGGAGCCCAATGGAAGATTCTAGAGTTACTAAAGACTGCAGTGAATGTGTGCCAAGATATATACTATAATTACTTCCTCTGACTTACAATAACCAAATTCCTAGAGGTGGATGGAAAATTGATGGCTTGTAGTTAAGTACTGGTCAGAGAATTTAAATCAGAGCATCCCTTTTCCAAGTTACCCTTCACATATCAGAGAAACATAGAAGTCCATTAGATCATTAGGGAGGTGGTGGAATCTCCTTCCTTAGAGATTTTTAAGGTCAGGCTTGACAAAGCCCTGGCTGGGATGATTTAGTTGGGAAATTGGTCCTGCGTTGTGCAGCGGGTTGGACTAGATGACCTCCTGAGGTCCCTTCCAACCCTGATATTCTATGATCACCATCTGTACAACAAGCAGTCTCATTTAAAGTATTAAGTACTTCCACAAATCGAGAGACAATGAGTGACCATGTGTATTAAATATGCATATGTACGATATTTTGAGTGTCTTAGTGCTGAAAAAATTGAAAGCTGCTTAGCAAATTTCACCTGGCTGCTTGAGCCTGCTAGTCCAGCCATGGTGCCCAATAGATATTTGTAAACTCTGAGCTGATCCATCACGCTGCCCACCTGACCACCCACACCTCCAATGTGATCTAGGGCAGAAACAAGCAACAGCAGTAAATAAGTGAAAGTATTATGGGCCACAGTTTGTAGGTTGAAAGAACAGTTGAGATATTGCAATCTTGACTTTTTGTATAAGTAAAAAAGGAGTTCCCAGGGAAACATACAGGGACTGACTGGCTGTAAAGTGCACTTAGCTATTTGTCAGAAGAAAATTAATTGAAGGATGAGGCAGTAGACGTGTATTTATCTACCACACTGAAAAGCAGCAGTTAAATGAACATTTCAAGCTATGCTTTGAAGCACTTCTATTGCTGTCAACCTGAGGATGAAAGCCAAAATCTGTATGCCAAGTACTTATCATTATGGACTACCAAAAAGAGGAGTTCAAATACAAAATGATTTAAAGATTCAGAACAGTAACAATTAGCAAATTTCTTCTGAAATAAGCATCTTCAAATAGCAGTTTTGCTCGTTTTTTGTGGTGAACTAAAGAGTTGGTTTGTGTGCTAATTATTTTAATTGTGGTAATTGTTTTGTTGTTGGCCAATCATGCCTCTATTGTGACCCCAACAAAATATTAGAGAATTACCTTTACTAAAAGTATGATGCTAGGAAACTGGATCAATCCTCCCTGCCACAGGCCACATCTGTCCTCTAGCCATGGAATATGTACTGAGATGGCAAAATGAAAGCACTCTCACACTGCTCTATTAATGTGGCCCAAGAATGGGCAAGAGACCCCATCTACAGGGGTGAATATTATTCAACATTTATATTACACTAGCACCTGAAGGCCACAACCACATTAATGGTAGGTTTTGTACAGAAACAGATGACAATTCCTGCCCCCAAAAGCTTACAATCCAAGATGACAAGACGTAATAGGTGAATGAGAAACAAGCAGATTGAAGTGGAGATGCGGATGACAAAAGATAACAAAAATGGGAGGTGCACAAATCTTAGTGAGCGATCAAAGCTTGCCACCTGCTTAACCATCAAGGTTGCAGTTTTCTGTATGCATTAGGAAGAGCAGAGTTGAGGGAGAATTGGAGAATAAGGTGATGGGTTTATGGATTTTTGACTGGAAGCCTTTCCAGTTCACAAGGTGCAGCATGGGAGAAAGCACTAAAATGCTTGTGGGAGAAACAGAAAATTGTGGCTGGTAACATTCGCAGAGAGACTGTGCTATAAAACAACAGGTTGAACAGGTAGGGTGAGGCTAAATTGTGGAGGGCTTTGAAAGCAAGAAAAAGTCTGCATTTGATACAGTAAATGAAAGAGTCAGTGGAGGGACTTAAGAGGGTAAAAGGCGGGAAGGTAAGACAAGAAGATAATCGTAACAGCCACATTAACAGACTTGAAAGGGGACCTGGTTACAGGCAGAGAAGCTGGAGAAGGAGATTAAAGAATTTGCTCAGAAGTTTGGTGGTGTGGGTAGAAGGGAGAAGTTGGATCTTGGAGCTGTTGTGCAAGGAGAACCTGCAAGATTTCAGACATGGCTTTAATGTGTGGGTCGAAAGAGAGGGGAGAATCAAAAATAATGCATAGACCACAGGCTTGATAGTTAATAGTTCAGTTGCCCAACCAGAGGGTGCTGTCATTGGATTACAGACTTGTCCGCTGGAAATAAGACCACCACCAATTCATTTCACATACAGTTAAGGCTAAATTTTCCATCACTACAAAAATGGACTGGATTTGAACAGCCAACCAGAAGCAAGAGGTTCCATAGTCTACTCCTAGGGGAATTCTGCACCAGTGCGCATGCACAGAATTAATGTCTGGTGTGAAATTTTTCCCCCACAGTAGAAAGTACATTCTGCCCAAGAAGTGCTGCAATTCCACCTTTCGCCCACCAGAAGCAGCTGTGGCCCCAGAACAGCGGGCTGACCAGCAGTAACAGCTAGCAGCCAACTGTATTCGTTACAACAGCCTGCCAGTGGAGCCAGGTTAAGAGGCAGAGTGGGGCACACAGGGCTGCTATGGGGTCACAGATTGGGGAGCAGGCTCAGTAGCTAGTGAGGTGACAGCATTGAGCCAGGGGTGCATGGGAAGGGGGTCTCTGGGCCACATGGGGATAGGGGCAGATGTGCCTGACTGAATGGGAGAGGCTTGGGGTCAGCCAGGGTCTGCATGGGGAAGGCTCCCCAACGCCTTAAAACCCCCTGCCCCCCCCAAAAGAAAGTTCCATATTTCTCCCACCCACACCTAACAACTCTCCAGTTCACTCCAAATCTCCTCTCCTCTCCCTCAGCTCCTCCATTACCCCGTGACTCCCGCAAGCCTTCACACTGCTTTTAAGGGGTGTGGAAATACATTTCTGTATTGTAGTTTAAACGAATTACTCAAAGTTCTGCATTAATATGCCCAGTAAGGAATCTGTCAAAAAAACATTTCCTGAATCTTTGTGAGTCTGTCTGTTTTGTTACAGACATACTTGCTTTCAGTTATTTTGAAATAAATTACCAAAATAATTGAAACTGGCATGTTTATATTGTGTTATTTGGACAAATAAAATATGCAGAATTTTTAATTTTTTGGCACAGAATTCCCCCAAAAGTAATAACCTCTTGAGCCTTTCAAGTCCCTACGTCTTGCCTATTCCAATGATTTTATATTTTGATCACAAAGTAATAGGACTGATTTTATCTTACTGAACTTGTTTCATTAGGCAACTATGACAGTAAAAATCTGGGATATCAGCAGGTTACTTTACTAATCAGTTATTTGTCAGAAGGAATCTACCATCTTGATCGCTTTAGGGCAGAGGAGATTGCCTCTTTTTTTAAAAAAAGAGGCAGTAATATTTTGACCACTCACCCAAGTGCTTTCAAATCACTGGTGACAACAACTGTATTTTGCAAGAGATACAAGCCTGGGCAAGTCTTGAACTGGATGCAAACATTTCCTAACTCTTGCGTGTGTCAAGGTGTCAATTTGTCTGCCCCTTGGTGGCTCCCAGATTTGGCAGCACTAGCTGAGGAACCTATTACAATTAAAACTACCAGGATTAGAGAACAAGTTAAAGTCTACACTTCGCTACACTGCTAGTTGCAGCCAACCACACTTCAGCTTGAAAAAATTGTGGTTAATTAATGGTGGCAATTTTAAGATTTAAAGGTTAGCACAGGCAACCAAACTTGTCACTATTAGCTGCATTTCCAATCTCTGCTACTGCTAGTATTAAGTGACCTCCTCTGCCATAAGTCTTGGTTTTTTTTCCAAATACCATCTCATTTGTTTATTGCCTCAGTGGTATGAGAGGCGATTCATTTCACTTTAATGGAACTAGTTATTGTGAAATGGGGAGAGTGTCCCAAACTGTTTGAATGCTTTTATCAACTTTTATTCTATGCTTACCATAGATACTGGCAAAAACAAACTAATTCACCACCAGTGCACCTTCACCTTTTAGAAAGAGTCATGTAGGTAGAACGTAGGCTTTGTCCTGGAGTTGGCTTTACTCATGGTTAGACAACATGGGTTATGTCTGCACGAAGTCTCCATTGATGTTATCACCATTTCCTCTACATCAATGGGTAAAGCTAAGATTTTATCACGGTTATTTTTAGTAAAAGTCACAAACAGGTCACAGGCAATAAACAAAGCCCTGGGTACATGGTCCCCGGGTGAAGCCACCGAGCAGGGGCGCGCGGCCCCAGCTGCAGCCCCTGGAGGAAGCCTCAGGGTTGAAGCACGCGGCCCCCACCAAGCACGCAGGGCCGGCCTTTGGGGTGGGATGTATGGGCACCTGCCCAGGATGGCCCACCCAAGGGTGCGCCATGCACAGGGTTTGGATTTCCACCTGACCCGCTGCCGAGAGGCAGCACGGCAGGGAAGCGAGCAGCAGAGAGTGTGAGTGTGAGTGTGAGTGTGAGTGTGAGTGTGTGTGTGTGTGTGAGTGTGTGTGTGTGTGTGTGGTGGGGGAGGGGGGGGAGGGGAGGG